AATTTCTATAATTGTAATTATTTAAAACATCAAACATTGTTTTTTTGTTTTTAAAGGTAACAATATAAATATTTATATAGAGTTATTTTTAACTATTTTTATGGTAAGTTATATTAGGCTACTTATTTGAAAACTTTTAATGATTATAAAAATATCTTTAGGAAATATTTTAGTTAAATTGAGATTACAATTTAGTTTTTGCATTTAGCACTACAATTTATCACTTTTAACTATTCACAAAATATTCTTTGGGGTTTTTAAGTGAAACTTAAATTTATATTTAAGTTGACCATGTAATCTTATATTTAAATTAACAATTTAAGTATTTTATCCAAACTGTTCAAAATTTTTAGCTTTAACTGATAATGGTTAAATACAACAACATATTAAATCTAATATATTAAGTATAATATGTTAAAAGTTAAAGACATAACTTTATAGGTAGAAGTAAAAATATTATTTTAATATTGAAATATAATTTATTTATGATTACACTTTAGGTTTGATATTTATTTAACCATATTAACCAACTTATATTCATTATTAGAAAGAAATTAAAAAGTCATGGGAGTTTCAAATGAATGTGGTGGAAAGAAAAATAGTTGGGAGTTTCAAATTGATGTGGTTAAAGGAAAAATGCTTCCTTTATTGTATAGTATGATATGGAATGGTTCAAATGAGAACCAAAAAAGATTAAGAACCTAAGAACCATTTTTTTTATAAATATTTTCATTTAAGGCATTTTGGACAAATCAAACATTAATATTAGAATATTATATTAAGCAAACTTTTTAATTCTCTATTATATAACAACGAGTTGTCACTTGTTGATGGACAGTCTCCGGGCTACCGTCGAACCGCCGCCGGACCGCCGCTAGAGAAACACCAAATTCAATGACATTTTCATTGTATTCGCAGTTTGATAGATCAAACATTTTAGTTCTCATTTTTTTGTTAATACTTTTTATTACATATCATTTTATTTTTGCAGCCAAATATACAAAATTTTTATAAAAAATGGATTTATGCCTTGACAATTTTTTTTTCTAAATTGTAGAATTATTAAAAAAAAATATATCGTGTAAAATACATATTCACAGTTTAAAATATCATATTCACACTTTAATAAACATATTAATTCACTAATACACAATTTAATGTTTTCATGCATACATTCATTTATATTTTAACACAAAGTTCATATAAAATATACAGCTTATAGAGTTCATTTTTAGTTTAATACATAAAATTCACATCATAATTCAAACCAGTATACAATATTTGACATATTCAAGGAAATCAAACCTAAAATCCACCACCACCACCAAATACCACACGTCACCACCAATTACCTATGTCACCGTCACAATCATCATTTCTTCCAAATCAGATCTGTATATAAAAGCATTGATTGACAACTTAAATATTATATTCACAATTTAATAAACCAATAAATTCATTTATTCATAGTTTAATGCAAAATAATTATAAAAACTAATACATCCGTACATATTTATACCACAAAAAAAAAATATTCACCAGAAAATTAATAGAAACATTCATACACAAATCATTCATATTTTAACATAAAATTCATTAAAAATTCACAGTTTAATACAATTAATTCACAGTTCACAATTCAGTAAATATAATAAATTCACAGTTTAATGCACAAAAGATATATTCACAACTATATTCTCAACTTAAAACTTACATGTATACTCAAGGTAGCTAGTGCTTCTTTCAAAATTTATTTACACAAATATTCACAATTTAAATTTTACATATTTTATTCAAAATTAGATTAAATTAGATATGTGTATAATGCTTCTTTTATCTCATATTCCATAAGCAACCAAAGAACTAATAAAACAAATCACAATTTAATACAATCAATTCATAGTTTAATTAGTCAATTCACATTTTAATATATTCAAATCACCGCTTAATATACAAAATTCACAGCGTAATATAAATAATTCAAAGTTTAATATAAAAAAATTATACACTAACGACCATATTCTAAATTTAAAACTTACAGTTCAAGACTTTAATTCACAATTTAATTAACTAGTTTAGGTCTCTC